TATCTTTATCGATATACACATTTTATTGTTTTTATACATATATCTATATATATGTGTATATATATATATATATATATATATATATATATATATATATATATATATATATATATATATATATATATATATATATATTGATAGTATACAGATGTATTTTATTGCAGTGTGCTGTAATAAATGGTATCGCGATATTGTTATTAGGTTGTATTTCCAGGCAAAACATGATAGATATCATGATGACGGATAGATAGATACCCTGACGATGTATTATTATAACTTAAATTCATTTTCCATTTTGACAGTTTTCTACGTTATTAATTCTATTTTTAAGTATATATTGAAATGAATTTTTGAATTGTATATATATATATATATATATATATATATATATATATCTTATACGAGTTTATAAGGCATGCATTCATGTAAATACACACGTTTTCCGAACAACTATGTAGAAAAAAATCTGCGAAAATGTAACACATAACTTATCTAATGTTCATAAATGTTCATAATGCGTTTGTCTTATTTCCAGTTGACATTTAAAGGGTCGTAAATTTACATGGGCAGATTACCATTCATCGTCGCGTGTGTAATTTTCATAACTTGTTCAGTTGAGTGTATTCATGACCCTTCATATTGATTTGAAATTATTGACGGACGGGATAAGTTTCATAAGATGTCATTCATTTTGTTGGAAGTGGCTAATGATGATGATCATCATCTTCATCATCGTCGCCGTCGTCATCATCATCATCATCATTATCAACGTCATTATCATCATCAACAACAACAACATCATCATCATTATCATCTTCACATCGTCGTCTTCATCACGTAAGTTTTATGATATCTTGCATCGTCATTATGGTAAAGATGCCAATATTAATATAAAACCCTAAGGATTTATTTATATATTGTAGAAACTCGCAATTTTCATTTCTTACATGTATGTTTAAAAGGTAAATTTATGTATTACATTAAGTGTAAATATATTAACGTATTATTTTATATGTACGTATATACACATCACACACACAAACACACACACACACTCATACACTACACACACACACACACAGAGAGAGAGAGAGAGAGAGAGGGAGAGGGAGGGAGGGAGGGAGGGAGGAAGGGAGGGAGGAAGAAAAAGAAAGACACAAAATATTATTAACATATAATGCTTGTTTAAAAAACTTGTGAATATATAGTGTTAATAATTAACGTTACATTTGAAAGATTGTTACTTAAATTATTTGAATTTAGATTTCTGTAATTGTTTCAAAAATTATTCCATTCAGTTTCGTGTTGATCCGTTTTATGCTTTTAATATTTTTTCTGATAGAAAAAAATTATCGTATAAATTATTTTAGTTTTTGTGAGTTCTACATTTTACAAACAAAAATAAAATTAATTTCACCTAAATATATGAAAATAATTAAAAAATTAACAAGTTCTATTTTTGATCCTATGCAGTCAACGTAAAAATTGAAATATAGTACATTGAACTAGCTAAAACATTTGCACTGTCTAACAATGACTCACAATCGATAAATAATCACCAGCTGCTTGGTGACTTTTAGAATAAATATTTGCTAATATAATAAATTTTGTTGAAATATTTTATTATTAATATCTTTACAGAAAGCCCAACTTAATTCTTAATTTAGGTACGACAGGCAGTTTGAAGCTATTCATTGCTAGCAAAGTTGCAATTGATATTTTGCTTATGTTGTTGAATTTACTGTGGTCATTGCGGTTGCTGTGGTCGTTTCAATATTTAGTGTTGTTGTTATTTTTATGCTTATTGTGGTTGATGTTGTCGCATCGGCGACTCACTGCTGCTGCTGCCACTGCTGCCACTGCAAGCGACACGGAACAAAAACAAGAACGAAATAATCCATCCGGTAAGTGATGATGGCAGTTTAATGGAAGAAACTGGTCAACTTTATTTTATTAATTAACGTCAAGTGTTAAGTCGGAGTAATAAAAAATTAATTATCATGAAATGTTATGTTAATTATGTTAATAATTAAACGCTCAATCATTGTTTTGTGTTGATTATGGTAAGGTATTTAGGAAAAACAATTAAAACATAATCTCAACACCGTCACCATAAATCAATACTCAAATATTTAAATTTAGTTTGAAAGAAACATTTTCATTTCATACTCTTGCTCGTGGCAGTGAAAGTAGCTGGAGTAACGATCATGATCAGGAATAATTTAAAACAAAAATAATTGTCATAAATTTTCAGAGCCTTTAATTAATTAATCAATATTTTTAATTACATTTAAAATGATTGACATAAGTACATTCGACGTTTAGGAATCTATCTATTCATACATAGTTATAATCTTTGTATCATATTGTTTTTTTATTAAACCACTAGCTCCATCAACCTCATCTGCCTAATTTAACAACAATTCAAAACACCTCTTATAAAAAAAATGTAATTATCATAATTAACTTTAATCATCTCTAAATTATCATTTATTATCACAACATTAAAAGTTAAAGGTTTAATCACCACAACATTAAAATTTATTATCATTACGACACTACATTGAACCATGATTGTTGTTAGTGTAACCAATTTTTAGCCTAACGCATTTCATCATTACCATATCATTGCCGTTGTTGTTTGTGGCGGTGAAATAGTTTTACCTAGTTTTCCATCTTTGACATCTCGCCCTTTTTGGCCACGGTTGGCAGACGCGCCCCATCCAAGTACGGGTTGTCGGAACTTTTCTTTGCCACTTTATAAATTTCTTCCTCCATATCGCCCAGTCTGCCAGTGTCCTGTTTGAATTACCCCTTCGTTTGCATACTTTTACTTTTTTGATTTATTTATTTATTCCTACTCATTAACAATTCAATAAAATAATTTAATTAATAATTTTGTTTTTAAAGATGATAATATTATTATAGCACAGATAAAAAAAATAACCCTCTTATAACGGGGTGACTTCTTGGCGACTAGGCTGACCCTTTTGTGCCCTCCGTGAGTGAATGGGTTCTCTTGCTTTTGATTTCAAAATATATATTATTTTAAAGAATAATTTAAAAAATTGTAATTGTAAATTGAATTTTTGAGGAGTTTGGAGAGATGGGCTGCAGTCTCTCTCCCGCAAAAATTTAAACAAAAGGTTTCATTTTGCCATTTACGATCTATGTTTTTTTTTACTTCATTTCCTTAACAATTTCCAATAAACGTTATTGCTTACATAAAAATTCAATATAAAAATGTCATCAACTTTATTCAAACTTCCAAAACCACCTCCCAGAACAAAGTCCCAACCGTGCTACCGAGTAATTTAAAATATGTTTGATGATAGACGCTGCCGATAGTATAAATATTTTGCGATTTCAACGTTATTTCAATGACACTTTCCATAAGTCATCTCGAAGGAGAATGTATATAGAAGCAACAATAAGTTAATTTATATTCTATTCGTTTTTTTAATCTTTTATATTAGGCAAAAAAGTGATATTTAATTCATCAAAAACTTACCAGCTTCGCTCTTTTATTTTAAAATTTTCTAAAGAGACTAGTAGCTAGAAACAATTATCAAAAAACTTGGAAGACACCTTCCTCACTTCAAAGTAGATAAAATAATCAAGAAAATTTTTGTACTGAGTTTTTTATTACAATAAAAAATCCTTTAAAAGTTTTTATTTGTTGCGACCTACAATGAAATAAGTGACGCCACACAAACAATTTCTGCTTATAAAAACACAAAATGTCACATGTCTCTCATTTGCATGGTTTCTTCATTCACTCCTATTCTGTAACGTCATTTCTTTGGTTTTGTTTTGAAATAAATTTTGATAATGTTTTTATTTGTTTTTAGTTTTTAATAAATTTTGTTTTAAAAAAACTTTCAAATTTTTAAATTTATTTTTTTTAATGTTCACGTTTAGCTGCCATTTTAATCATTTATTTTTATTTAATTTTTCAACAAAGGAGATTCTGCACTTGTCAGAATCTGATTTTTTCAAAATAAAAAAAATAATAAAAATAAATTTTCTTCAACTCCGCTGTAGAGGTTGTTTCAAACGGGGTGTTCAAGCTGTAAATTTATTTGTTTGTTTTGTAATTTGTATGTGTTTGCTTGTGTGTGCGTGTGTGTGTGCATGCGTGTGTGCGTGTGTAGTTTGCGTGAGATGTATTTTGCACACATATAAAAATAAATATTTGCGTTTACAAACGAATATGATTTTTAAATTTCCATTGATTACCACCACCACAGGTCTATACATACAATTTTAATTACTAATTATTTAATTAAAAAATGCATTAAAATTTATTATTATGAGGCGCTCAAATATTTGCAACTGAACGCAAAACCTTCTCCTTAATGAGGTTGTCAATAACTTTTTCCAAATCCTGCCTTTCATCATCCGATCCATCGAGTCCATCAGCACAGTTGAACATGTGCTCTTCGTCACAGTTGCACAATCCCTTCTTCTGCATCTGACGGATCCATTCCTTCTGGTAATCTGCTGTGTCTTCTACGAACTCCTGGCATCCATTTTTGCCTACATTTTTTAAATTGTTTTAAAGTTATATTTTTAGTTAGAAGTGGAAAATGTTTTGTAAATTCTGAAAAGCAAAATTTTTATTGAAAAGTTTATTTGTGGGGAACGGTTGAAAAAAATAACGTAAAATATCGAGAAACAAACACTGATGCTACGTTCAGTACTTACGTTTGTAACTCAAACGTCGAACCGAGCTTTGCGAATTTTTTTAATCGTGAACATTAATTTAGATAGAAATGAAGTAAGACTTTCCAACTTGTGAATCCTTTTGGGCAGGGATTGGGTGGGTGGCAGTAGAATGGCAGAGCTTCATCTGACTTGACGGACTTCAAACTATCTACAATCTTGTTTGGAACAGCGGGAGATGTCGGCTTGCCATGCTCTCTGTCGTGGTCTTAGTGTTTACAATTAATTGGAGCTGTAGTAGCAACAGCGATATTTTCAATAGAATAGAAACATTATTTATGATATTGCCACCTTCATAATTGTTGATTACTTCAAACTGCATCACTACCTTTCAAGTGATAAACAGCATCGATGGAGCTGTGCTCTGTAAATTCTGGATCGCGAATGACCCCTCTAATTTTTTCATCATCTCCTAGACCGATCTCTTCCTTCTCCTCCATATCTCTCAGTTGTTTTTGAGAATGAAGGTACGAGGTATCTTCGTAACCGTCGTCGCTGTCACTGACCTTCAGTTGATCAGGTAGCAGCAAGATGTTTCTTTGCGGTTGCTGGTTGTATGCCTCGTAAAATGGAGAACTATCTCCATCGCTGTACACGTCCTCTGCAATGTTCCTGTCCTCAATTCTCTTAACGTCCTGATTGGAAAATGTAACGTCATCAGCTGAACTTTTTCATTGAAAGTGATTGCGTGTATAATAAATATTTTATTAAACATCATTTGAACAAATTTTAAATTTACACGTAGAAAACAATGAACATCTGGATAATAAATCGAGCGCACAGTAGATGCCGTACGACCAATCAATGATTAACTATAATCGAATTAATTTTAAATGGTTTCACGATGTTACAAATATAATAACAATTTTTTACCTGCAAATCGAGTGAAGCCAATCTTTTGTACAAGTCTTGTGTTAAATCATTGTCAGGAGAAACATAATTCAGATTAAAATCATTCATCCCAGATACCGTTGACAGAGAATGCAAAATCAAGCAAATTCGTATCAAATGATACATTTTATTGAAGAAATAAGTTACTAGTGTTACACTCAATAATATTTAAAAATATATTTTCATTCACAAACTTTATTTGGACCTTTATAAATAATTATTGTGAACGATTAGTGAATTCGTTTGCAGGATCAAAAAAAACCATCTCTAACATATTGTCGAAAACTGGACGTTAATTATATACATGTTAAAAAGTATGTACGTTTTGCGAGTATGGTGTATGTATGTGTGTGTATATATATATATATATATATATATATATATATACATATATACATATATATATATAGGCATATATACATATATACATATATATATATATAGGCATGCATCATTTGCGTCATTGTCGTTGAACATTTGAGTTGCAGCAGATTGCAGACTCTTGCTTGCTTAGCATCTAAAATTGACGTGTGTGGAATGAAAGTTTCATATCAAGTCAATAATATAATTTATATTTAAATTACATCATGATGTTAACCTTAACTTTTAAGAGGCAAGTAATCTGGTATTTCATTTTTTCCGTATCTCTATTCTTGTGAAAATGAATTAAATAATAAACTATCTTTGTTGTTAATACCTTTGGTGCTTATTGTGTAAAAGTTAATTGAAGTGATGTAGTCGGAGTGTTTTTACGTCCGCTGGATATTTAAGATGGTCGAGATATCCGTACCCCATTTTTTGTCAGACGGTCAATCATCTTCTATCCGGAATTATATTGGTTCATAGTTAGTGAAATTTTATTTTTTGTAAACATTAAAAATGATTCAATTTTTGACTGCATGCCTCATTCGTTTGCTTTGCAATTTTGCATCAATCAAGTTATTTTTTAATTTCAGTTTAGTTTTTTTATATTTTACATCTTAGAAGAAGAGCTTCCGACTCTTGCTCTTTAGTTATATCTTCTCACCTAGCTTAGGTTATTATATGTCATTTGAATTAAATTTTTTTTAATTTTCTCAGATTGTTTTTGGTTTATCTTTATATAAATAAATAAATAATCCTATTATAATATTTATAAAAATATTAAAACATATATAATAATTATATGTTTTAAATAATAATTTTCAATTTATTTTATATTGTTATCAGAATCTTACAAAAATGACTGCTGAAGGTTATAACACCACCTACGTGAACAGCACCAATGCTGGTGCCAACACGTCGTTAACAATACCCCATCTTGGATCGACCACAACAATCATCATTGGCAATTCATTTGGCGATAACTTCACTCTTGAAGGATTTCACAGTAAAGTTGATTGGCTGCTTTTTATCACTCTTTATTTTATAAATAACAGACCAAACTTCATAATTATATAGTTTTATTATTTAAGAAAACACTAAAAATTATTAAAAAAGTTTACAGCAAGCAAATTGTTGTTTTCTCTAGATATGTGGTATGCCATGCTCCTAACAGCCATAGCAACACTAATACTGGTTCATTTTGTAGCTGCAATGATAGCTCTTGGTCATCTAAAAAAGCACAGGATTGGTCGATTTGTACCCTTAGTTATAATAACTTTGGGTCTCATTCCATCTGCTTTGGCAACACTCATCACTAGTAAATTTACTCATTTTTCACCTTAATTCTTTAAAGTTATAGTTGTGTTTGTTTGTTTAGGTTTGTCATATAATTGTTTATTGACTGTAAGCTTGTTTAATTGTTTCAGGTGCTGCCATAGCTGGTGTCTATCAAACTTCTGGCAATTCCATGAAAATTTTGTATGGGGTTGCGTGGGGTGTTGGCCAAACTATTGTTTTAATTTTTATATCTTTCACAAGGATTCTAGCGACGTTGTGATGATGAACTTTTAAAGGCTTAAAATGTATTAGATATTTGTGTATATATATATATATATATATATATATATATATATATATATATATATATATAATGTCCTCATTCAGTCCCATCATTGACATCAGCTCTGTACTACTCCTCCTAGTGAAGGATAAGAGGAGTAGTACAGAGCTGATGTCAATGATGGGACTGAATGAGGACATTGTGACATTGATAAGGAGATCGAGATTGCGGTGGTATGGACATGTGTTGAGAAGGGATGAAAGGGTCGGGATTAGGCGAGCGTTGGAGTTCGAGGTTGAAGGAGTGGTAGGAAGGGGTCGTCCGCGATTGGGATGGAAAGAGCAAGTGGAGAAGGACAAAGTGAAAGCGGGGTTGCGTGATACTGAGGCGATTGACAGATGTGGATGGCGTCGAGGGGTATTTCGGTTTCATCATAGGTAGCCAGACGGCAACCCCCGATCTCGTGGAAAATGCAAATGCCGTCTAAACGTGTGTTGTTGTATATATATATATATATATATATATATATATGTGCATATTTATATTTTTATGTGATCGTGAAATAAATTATTTTTTTAACTGTATCACACATTAAATATATTTATCTGGTGTTAACTTGTACTAATTTGGGAACATTCGTGTCGCTCTAGAGATGACTGAAATCATATACTATACAGGATTAAATATGTATGCGTGTGGAAGAATGCGATCAGGAATATACTTAGTAAACATAGATCTCAAGCTTTTAAGTTAAATTATCACAATTTTTCGTTATATTTTAATTAATTTTTTGTTTCATTCAATTAATTCGTTATATTCAGGTGCATTTTTAACTTGAGTATCGATAAAAAAATGAGAATAAATTTTATTTATCAAAGATCCTAAATCGTCGGCTTTTGCGAAAGTCGGCCATTTTACGAATAAGCATAATTTTTACACTTTCTCCCTTTTCGTAAAGTCTTGTTCAATCGACTTGAGGCTAATTTGTCGAATAATTAGACCGCTTTACAAATTTTAGTTGAAAAAAATAAATAAAAATGGTAGAAGATCGCGCCGCAGCCAAAGAGCTTGATCAGTGGATTGAGCAGTTGATGGATTGCAAGCAACTTGCTGAAAATAATGTCAAAACTCTATGTGACAAGGTAAGTTCTCCAAAACGTTTTACATTAACTATCTAATATTTCTACTGATTAACACAATTTTTTTCTACGTCTGCTTGTTAAGGCAAGAGAAATCTTATCAAAGGAGTCTAATGTTCAGGAAGTAAAATGTCCGGTTACTGTGTGTGGGGATGTGCATGGTCAGTTTCATGATCTAATGGAGTTGTTCAAAATTGGTGGTAAATCTCCAGACACAAATTATTTGTTCATGGGGGACTACGTTGATCGTGGCTATCACTCTGTAGAAACTGTAACATTACTGGTGGCCCTTAAGGTTTTTTGAATCATCCCATGATTTCTTTATTTTTTGAAGTTAGACAGATTATTTATCTTATTTACTCTGGCTTGCTTTAAAGTCCCATCATAATAGGATCTAATTTTTTGTATAATATATGCATATGCCAATGCAGTTTATTACAAAAATAACATTTTTTGAATTAATTAGTTTAATATAATTTGTATGACCCAAACTAAACGAAAATGAATGTGTTGTAATTTTTTTTAAATCAAATAAACCCTCGTAAGGTTCGTTTCAAAGACAGAATCACAATTCTTAGAGGCAACCATGAAAGTCGTCAAATTACTCAAGTCTATGGGTTTTATGACGAATGTCTGAGAAAGTATGGTAATGCTAATGTCTGGAAGTACTTTACTGATCTGTTTGACTACTTACCGCTCACTGCTCTTGTTGATAATCAGGTGCTTTGCTGCTTTTAATTTATCTAAGTTAGGTGCAAGATTTTTTAAAAATTAATTCTTAATAACAAAATTAACTAAATATCATCTGGGGGTTGTTGAAAAGTTGGAAAAGATTGAGTGGTAAGTTCATTGTTATATCAGTAGTTAACAACAATTTAATAATTTGATCCAAAATCAAACTAAGTCATAAATTTTCAATTCCTAAATGATAATTTAATTTGTTGAAAAACTTCTGCAGATTTTCTGCTTGCATGGTGGTTTGTCACCTTCAATTGATACACTTGACAACATCAGAGCTTTAGATCGAATCCAAGAAGTGCCACATGAGGTCTGCATATTTCAAGATGTCAATTATAATCAAATTTTATTACTCGCTATTGTCTGTTTAGATGAAATTTTATGTTGGTCAGAATTTAAATTTGTATGAAAATCAGTATTTTAATGATGAATGGATGTTAAAATTATCAATTCATTAAAATTGATTTTTCAAATTTTTAAAACACTCGGTAAAGTTGATAAAGAATTTAAAATGTTTTAACTGGGTGTATGTAGGTTGTTGGTAGTAAACTCTTTTAATGTCTTTTTATCTTATTAATCAGAATTCATAATTTTTATTTCAAAGCCAATGTAAGTTTTGTCTTTTCTTACTGCTCACTTTGAACATGCCTGTGGTAAATTTACAGGGCCCCATGTGTGACTTGTTGTGGTCAGATCCTGACGATCGTGGTGGCTGGGGTATTTCTCCTCGTGGAGCTGGCTACACATTTGGGCAGGACATATCTGAAACTTTCAATCACAGCAATGGATTGACTTTGGTGTCTCGGGCACATCAGCTTGTCATGGAGGTTGGTTGCTGTTTATGATGTTGTTTTGTTTCTGATGTACTGAATTATTATGCTTTATATCATGAATATATATTTTGGACTTGTAATAGGGCTACAATTGGTCTCATGATAAGAACGTTGTCACTGTCTTCAGTGCCCCAAACTACTGCTACCGCTGTGGAAACCAAGCTGCTCTGTGTGAGCTTGATGATTCTCTGAAATATTCTTTGTTAGTGTTTTCATCGTTGTTGGCATTATTGTGGTTGTTAATATTGTAATTTGTGAATATTACTGTGGTTATTAGTAGGTTCATTGTTGCCATTTTAATGACATTTAGATTGAAGGTTTATCTTGTAAATTTGATTGATGTATTTCTGGATATTCATAATGGGTCTGGTTGATATATATTGAAGTTTTCGATGAGTGATTTGATTTTTCATGAAATATATTGAAGCAACAAACTCAAGAGCCCCAATCATAAGTTTGATTCAGTTTGATTAACTAAAGAATGTTAAATTAATGTAATATTGTTTTTATGCTCAAAATTATATAACTTTTAAAATTTGTATTCAACTATTTGTGATAATTGATCATTCGTTAAAAACAATTAGTTTGTTTTCTCATTCAGCTTGCAGTTTGATCCTGCCCCGAGACGTGGTGAGCCCCATGTCACTCGTCGTACTCCTGACTACTTCCTCTAATCTAGCTAGCTCCTCACTCATCTCACGGACAACTGGATTCATCATCATCACATTAGTCTCATTATCATCGTCTGTCATTATTGCCGTCATTCAAATTCTGCATCTTTTTATAATGATATAAAAAAAGTAATGATGAGGATGATGCTGCTATTATTATCTTTATTATATATAGTTGTTCCAATTTATGTTTAAGTTTGGTTCGGTCTTATAATAGAATTATAGTATAGTAGACAATGGAGTCTGCATTTTCAGAGTTTGGTGGGAATATGGCTTTGAATTTTTACTAACAATTTAATTAGTCCATATTGTGGATGATTTTTTTGGCAAATGTTTACTAAAGATGTTTACATTATGTTTAGCTGGTAGGTTTTCGTTTTCTTATGATTATTTTTTGAGTTACAATGGCATCATTGTTATTGTTCTCTTGTTCAGAATGTTTGATTAAAAATGATGCAATTATTATTGTTATCAAAATGCCTGAATGACGGTGTGATGCGAGAGTTTATATATGATTTTCTATAGTGATGTAAAAATATGCTTATTTTGTTCAATATCAGACGTTAATGTTATATTATTATTATTGTTTGTACAACTTTATAATTGTGTAGGTAATTAATTACATAATTATAAATTTATTTTAATTATGATTTCATTATGACTATTTATTTTTATTAGTTTTTACATGAATTTATCAAATGTAACAAATTACAGAGGGTGTCAAATTGGATAACTTTGATCACACTACTATAAAATTACCTTTTTCATTCTTACATTATATATGTATATATAATTAGTTATTATACATATATCTATATAATTCACACGCATATATATATTTCATTTGATTTAAATTTTCATTTGAAAAAGTGATAGAATAAAAATGTATTGTCGTGTTGTTGAATATGTTTCCATTCATTCATTTTGCAGAATAATTGGTTAAAAGTTTTGATAACGAGAAATTTTAATTAGGACTTTTTTTCATTTTTGAATAACGTCATTTTTTACCAAGTAATTTCTCGAACATGAAGGAGAAAACCTGTTATGCTTAGGTGAAAAACCAAGTCACTGGATACGATAATAATGAACTTATAATGCAGAATTCTTTTAATATGAACGCATTTTTGTTGTTTATTATTTATGAATAGCAAGCACATTATCGGAAAATTGCACAAATTGGAAGAAGACTTGGATGGAAAGACATCACTTGCACGTTTGGCAGAGGTACTTGTGACAGTTCAGTGGTGTTTTCTCAAGGATTGTATACTTACGTTGAATTTTTAATTTGCGATGAAAATGCAGAATTGTATTTACGTTGCGTGGAGTAACAGATGTTTCACCATTGATGCTTGAAAACCATTGCCTACGCACCCGTCTCTACTCATCTGCACAACCCACCAGATACCATTCGTTGCTGGATGCCTGCACGTTTGCGCGTTTGTATGAACTTAAGTATGTTTGAATTATGTTAGCGTGTGGACGTGTGTATGCAAATTATAATCGGAGATTTGACTAAACTTGATACTGCTAGCGATGAGGCATGCGTCGTCTGCTGACCAGTTTTCATTGAGTACGTATT